TAATGACAAATGCTACGACCACCACGATGTGCCTTTTTCTAGTCCTGATCCACAGGCCGTCTCTACATGCAGGTGACATTTATCTACCCAAGCACGCTTACTTTCAAATCTATGAACCAGCAAAGGAACACCACACAAAAGCGCCTTTCCAAAACCAAACACGCCTCTATAGGTCTTTCTCTCTCTCTTCCCCGTCGTAAAGATTTCGAACCACGCCCCCCCCCCCCCCCCCCCCCCCCCCCCCCCCCCCCCCCCCCCCCCCCCCCCCCCCCCCCCCCCGGCCCCCCCCCCCCCCCCCCCCCCCCCCCCCCCCCCCCACCCCCCCCCCCCCCCCCAAAATTTCCCACCCCCCCCCCCCCCCCCCCCCACCCCGTCCCCTCCAAACCCCTGACTCTCTGACCCCTATCGTCCAAGGGGAGCACCCTCTACAACCTTCTCGCTCTCAACTCCACAGTCGGCTCCCGCAAGCTCGCAAGGTTTCTCACGAGCTTCAGCTCGGCGCTCTTGCTCTTGAGCAGGTGAAGCTTCGTCCTCCCTTCCTCCGTCTCCGCCAAGGCGTCCCCGCCAGCGGCCGCGACGACCTCCTGCATCCCGCGCGCCGTCTGCGTGAGGACCTCGTGCATGCTCGCCAGCACCATCTCCGCCGCCTTGGCGAGGGGCAGGTCCAGCGCGTCGACCTCGTCGCCGCTGAGCCAGGATTCGCGGTCCTTGAGCTGCTGCTGTTCCTCGCTGTTGGCGCTGGCGGCGATGACGGCCTCGCGCATGCGCACCGTCATGAGGGCGGCAAACATGTCGCCCGTGCCGGAGAAGTAGGCGTCGATGGCGGGGAAGACAATCTTGAAGAGGCGCGGCTCGCCGGTGGAGGGCGACATGCTGGAGCCGACGACGGAGAGGTGGGAGGGCGGGTGGTCGGGCGAGGCGAGGGAGACGGAGGTGATTACGACGTGGGGGATGCGGTACTTTGTGTGCAGGGCGCGGATGGCGGTTTGGAGCGTCTGCATGTCGGTAATTTTGACGCCCGAGAGGAGCCTTGGTGTTTTCCCGTTCGTCAGTCTTTTTTGTCTTGTGGTCTCTGTTGTGCGTGTGAAAGAGGGGTTTGACGTTTCCTTCTTCATATGAGGGTTCTTTCACCGGGGGGGGGGGGGGGATGAAATAGACGCCGAGGTGCTGTGGATATCTGACCATTTACACAAGAAGGGGAGGGGGGAAAGGAGACAAAGAGAGGATAGAAAACATACTCGGCCTCAAATTGGTTGGGGAGAATCAAGTCGGCGTGCTCGACGAGGCTCTGATACGCGGGCACGACCTCCTCGGCGACGTACAGCTTCCCGTTGTCGCCCATGACGGGGTCCAGGACCCAGAAGAAGCCGCCCGGCGTCCCCGCGGCGGCCTGCTTCCGCTTGAGCTCCTTTGCGATATCGCCGACGGCCACGACGGCCTCGGCGCCGGGGATGTAGCCCGAGAGCATCATGTCAAAGTCGTCTAGGTACGACTGCTTGAGCCCCTCAAAGAGGTCCCGGATCTCCTGGGCGGACACCCTTGTCCCCTTCCATTGTCTGTAGCCTGTGTGATTGCCTATCGTTTTTTGAGAGAGTGTGTGTTAGCAAAGTAATACCTATGATGGCGGGGAGGAAGGGAAGGGAAGTCAGTCATGGAGAGAGGGAGGAGAGGGTGGAAGGAGGAGGCCATACTGAATTGGACGGTGTTGAGAGCCGCGACATCGCAGCCAAGGGACTGCAGTGTGAAGACGGCGATTTTGTTTCCTACATTTCTGCGAGAGGCTGTCAGACCCGCGGTCCAACACTCTGCCTATCGAAACGCCTAGCGCACATGGGGCGTATGTGAAAGGGCGCGACACAAACTCACCCGGACACAACCTGTATCGGACCGTCAGTCACACATCTCGGTCGAGGTTGTGAGAGCTCAGAGAAAAAGCCTTACATGACTGGCGACGGCCAGGACGCGTGTATCGGGGATCGGGAGTTCCACCGTCATGATCCTGTTGCGAGACTTGTGACGTCTCAAGAACAACACTTTATTGTTTGCTCAAAATGCGTGGTTATGGTATATTGTAGGTATGTTTTACTGAAGGCGTGTGTATGTAGTTTCTCAGATCTCAAAAGTCGGTTATCGGCGGGATGCTTTATCGGGAAAGATGCCGATGCGCGGAACGATTACAGTTGCTGGACAATGAGAAGGAGTGTTGCGTTGAAGAATGGTGCGGAAATAAGACAAACAAACTCGATGCGTTGTGAAACAAAAATCTGGGCAAAGTGAGAGGTCCTGTATCGGCGCAATTACCCGGATGTCTATCTATTCCGGAGATATCTCTTGGTCTCGTGTGAAGACAAGAGAGAAAGGTAATAGATGGGAGTGACTAAGTGAGATTAGAAAGGATCCAAACGGGTGTAATGCGGTTCCAGGTTCTTCCACTTGGTTAGCTTCGCAATTCCCGCTCTGGCAGTGGCTCTTGCTCTGACTCTGACGTTGCGACGGCCGATGACCGCCCAGCCCGATGTGACATTTCCAGGGAAAAAATCGACCCCGCCAAAAAAACCAAAGGGCGCATCGAAGAACCCCGCACTAGCCCGAGATTGGAAAGCTCTGACGGCAAGGCAGCTAGCTCGCCTCATTGCAGCTGCTCTCAGCTGGCGCACTCTTTCAATTGTGAGAATCCAGTAAAGGACTGGACTCGATGAATGGCGAGCACACTAGGTATCAAAGTCATGGACCCATGGTCTTATATGTAAGGTAGGCGGAAACAGTTATTTCATTATCTTTCGTGGTCCCAAAAAGTGCTTTTTGCTCTTCCTTCACCAACGTATTGCGTATCTTCTCTAGAACATGCAAAACTCAATCCAGAGTGAAAAAGGACAGGCCCTTTGCCCCGTCCATGATCCCGTACAACGCCAGCAATATCAACTTCATTCCGTCGTTAATCGCCGATTTACTCCTCGTCACCAATCTAGGATGCACGTTAGCTTTTTGTCTTGATGGTGTTGAGTGTCATGCAAGAGACTAGACTTACCTTCGGCGCCAGGTAGAAGCGCAGGTAGCTGGAGCCCGCCAGAGCGTACTCGACAAGCAGCGGTACCTCGTTCGAGAGGCAGATCTTGACTTGCTTGGAAATTGCGGCGGCCTTGCAGAAGTTGACGAGGTACTTGAGAGAGAAGGTCAGGGAGACGGGCTCAGAAAGCTCAATGTCGACGTTGTTTTCGGGCTTGTCCACGTTGGTGTGGCTTCGCAGGGTGACTGATCCATTGCCAATGTCACCGCTGGCAGCGAATTTGACACCGTCCTTGCTCGCGTCGATCGTAACTGTACGCGGCAGCAAGTTAGAATTTGTATTTTCAAAAAAGTGTTTAGAAGGGACAGCGCTGCCTACCCGACTCGCTCATTGCGATCAAGTCCGCGCAGATGCGTCTGAACTCGCTGCTTGGCATGGTGATAGTGGAGGCGTAGTCCGTCTCGGGAATACCCAGGTGCTCCTGGTCAATGTCCATCAACTTGAGGTCGTACTCGCTGATACGGTCGTTGGCTGAGCTCTCGAAGAGGATGTTCAGACTGTCGGGGGCATCCTCAGCCTTGAGCGTCAGGATGTCGTCGCCTTGGGCGGCGCGGAGGACCTTGGTCAAGGAGCCAAGGTTGACGCCGAGCGCAATGTTGCGGTCGCAGCGGAAGGGAGAAAAAGCCTCGGCCTTGAGAGCCATGGAAACCAAAGCAACATGGGAGTTGTCCATGGCCTGGAGCATGATGCCGGAGTCATTGCAGTCGAAGTTGCAGTCCTGAACGAGGTCCTTGATGGCATCGACAACCTGGGCAGGTTAGTCTCAGAATCAGCCGTTATGGCTATCAAAACAGTATAGGAAAGAATTACCTTCTTCAGGATATCGGCCTGGTCGAGTCTGGCTTCCAACATCTCTGCGAAATGTCAGCGTCATGCATTTGGATCGGAAACTGGGAGAATTGTGGAAGAAGAAGAAAATAGTGTGGATGGTTTGACGTACTGGCTGATTATATGTTTGTGAAAAGAAAAGGAGCAGAGGGGTATCTTCGGGTATCAAGGAAGCGGAAGGGAAGGCACAGAGATGATGATGAGCTGTTGTAAAAGTTGAGATCGTCAAGTCTGTGGTTGAGGGGTTGATGAAGGGTGGAAGGTCTTGTCGCGGAAAGCACTTTAATGGGCAAACACGGTCGCGCGTCGTAGTGGGCTGGCGAGGGAACGACGCGTCAAGCGTTTAATAGGGCTCAACGCCAACAACGCGCGGGGGGGCAGAAACACTCACTCACAGGCACGCCAGCCAGCGTCCGCTCCGTCTTTGATCGCTGACGGATGGCTCGTGCACCGTTCACCTACGTATCCTTGGAAGGACAAGCGAGCAGCCTGCCAGGCGCATTTTGCCCTCCTGAGATAGCAGCTGGCCCGGGCTCACCGAGCTCTCTCCACTTCGCCAGGGGTGTACGTTGATGCTCCAAGCCCCTGAATTGTGGCTCCCCCTTTCTTCTCCCTGACGACCGGGCTTCTTTGTTCAAGCTCCGGATGGCAACCGTTGGATATAAGCAATGAAAACGGCACAAAACACTGGAGTTGTTGCAACCCTGTGTGGCTGGTGAAGATGTAAACAAAACAAAGTACAGATCAAACCATAGGGCTATTGATTTCTCTCGCTTTTAGTTCCCTAGTAGATACTAACTTTTTTTGCTTGTAGTACTTAAAGTAGTCTCCAGAGATTATCTGGCCCGATCTCTGAGCCTGCACCAGATGTCATGCTGGGCATGAGTGCCATTATACAATACAAATGGGTCAACTGGAAGCGATCGATACCTCCCATCCGGATTCCCTGAAATCCCCTTCTATATGCATCCTGAGTGCGAATGTGTTTGCAGAGATTATGTATCAGAAACCAAGAACAGAAAAGGAAAACGAAGATTCAAATGACTGTGATTAGCTGAATCGTTGCACCAGAACGCCATGTCCGTCATCAATTGTCATGTCCTCATCACATCGAAACAATGCGTGATGGATTCGTCCCGGTTCGTGGGCGGGGCCGGAGGTTGATGACCATCTCAAGTTCCTTGAGCATGCCTCTGTTGGCATCCGCCTTTTCTTTGGCGATCTCTCGTTTCTCCCGGTCTTCTCTCATCTTGACGATGCGCTCGTCTCTCGTCAATAAGCTGCGGGGCCGGAACGGCTTAGCGACCGCCTCAAATATCTCCTCCGTGTCGGGCTCTCCTGTGCTGCTAAAGTCTAAGCTTGAGGGGGACTCTCCGTTCAAAGCTTTGAGGGCTTCGGCTGCTCCGCCTCCTTCATCAACTGTCGTGAGCCCACTGAGAGAGCTGGTCGGAGACAGCAGTGTGCTCATGGAACAAAGTCGCTTTTCGTTCCGGTCGATACCCAGAGCGAGTGCCGCTTTGCCTTCCTCCCAGGCCTGCATCAGTATCTTCAGGTCAGCCCCTATGGACTCATACTGTGACATGAGGTTGGATCCGAGCTCGGAAATGTCGTCAGACTCATTGAGGCTTCTGTCAGACTCCTCCCTTAACAGCGTCAATTTAGCCTGTAAACCGCGAATACCGCTGGACAAAGAGTTCAGTTTCCGTAATTGTGATCTCCATCTCTCACGACCAGGTGTTAATGGCATCTTTGGAGTTGGCGGTGGTGGGAATGCTTGCGAACGTTAGTCAACACGCCTTATAGTGAGATGAAAAGATCACTTACACTCCTCATCGCTCAGAAGTCTTTTCAGGTTGTCGAATGCCCTCTGGGTGACCGTATTGAGAGTGCGCACCGCTTCTACTGTGGTAGTCCATTTCAAGAGGTCGTCGCTCTCACCGCTCGCGTCCAGGGCCAACAATGCACACAAGAACATCTTCCGGATGGTGTGAAACCGTGCGGCGAGGATCTTGAGCGTCCTCAAAGACTCGGTGTCCTCAAGCTCATCCTCCTTGAAGCCTTGCTGGGCATCGGACATGTCGAAATCGCTGATATCGTAAATGTCGTAGTACTTCTCGAGGTCGAGTTGTTCCGAGAACCCCTTCACTACCGCCACGGTCTGATCGTATGCGGGAATGACATCCGCGAAGCACGCCCTCAGAGCCCTGCGGAGCCGCACGCACTTGCGAGTCTGTGAGCGATCCTCTATGCGGCTGATGGGCGGAAGAGGCGCACTCCTAAAGTTTGTGTCAGCGCATCACGGACTTTCTCGCCAGCTACTGGGCCAGAGGAGAAATTGAACTTACAGACGGTAACCTCTGGAAACAAGTTCCACCTCTTGCACCAGAGCAATCGCTGCGCCAGTCGCGCTGTCGAATTCCTGAGAGTTTGAAACAAATGCAGTGACCTCTGACAGTGCTTGGAGCCGTCTGTACCTCAGCCATTGTCTACGCATAAACACATGGGCGATCCCTGCAGCGATCACAAAAACCAACAGAATGACGAAAGTGCGCCGTTTGTTCAATGGCCCTGTTCCTGCAAGCCAGTTGATCGAGACGACGAGAGCCAATGCCCCTAGAACGACGACGACCGCGCTCGTTGAGTCCAGCAACTTGTCGGCCGGGTTTCCGTCAATGGCCATATTGGCGGACCGGGATGATGCATGGTTCTGGGATAATATGGAGTGCCCACTCAATAGCTGGGATGCGATAATAGTATAGCGAAATTGCTCGAGGAATTTGGAGTTGTCGGCTCGGTCAATCCTGGATGCTACCGCGGTCTGGAAAGGACACACATCAGTAATTTCCCCATGTGCCAACAGATAGGGGATTTGCAAAGCGCACCGAATAGCTGAGTCTGTAAGACTTGTCGGAGGCCGCTTTGGTAGGTATGTCGACTCTGAGGGGATTATTGCGGAATCTCGACCTAACCATCGGCCGACCTGTCGGCGCGAACTCAGGGCTCGAAGGAGGCGACACATCGTAGGTCGGATCGTCGTGCGCCCATCCTGCCTGCTCCTCTTCGCCTTCGTCTACAGCATGCGCGCAGATTATCAGTGGGCGAGCTCAATGGCATGACGGGTGTTCGCCTATGAGGAAGTTGCACTCACCACGAAGATACTCTGCGAGCGGCGACTGGTCAAACACAACAGGCTCCATCTAGCGACCTGGCAAGTATCGAGGAGGCACCTGCAAGCAGCACGGCCATCTGTCGCCCCAAGTCGTCGCGTTGGCCGCTGCGTAGTGGGATCGTGAACGGTTTGAGGGGTGGTGAGGTGTTTTGGTCGACTAATATTTAAAAGACTCAAGGGAAAGGCAAAACATGAGCAAACGCTGCTCTCTAGTAGGCAGACGGTGCTTCGGGGGATATATACGGATTGTATGTACGGAGTACGGATACGTATTGTGATTGCGGAGGGCTCACCAGGGGGGAAGGGAGAGTTCGCTCAAAGCGCCGACCCGAGAGTGACCAGCCCGCTCGCGAATGGGGAAGGAAACTGGACCCCTGTAACCGATTAAAGGTGCTAGGGGTACAAAGTCGGAACCTCGGTGGGGTGGTTGCATATGATCTGCCCCAGCTAACGGAGCGTTCTAACGGTGTCGCGGTGAGGTTTTGCGCACCGAGAATGTGGCTTGTGCATCACGTATTGCGTACCTGGGGATTATTATTTGCATATTTTTAATTTTGGTACATTGGATGGGACGACACGGGGCGGAGCCGAGACCGACATGACTCTCCACCCACCGATCTGGGGACACTAACGCAAGATTGGATGGGCAGGTAGGTACATAGCTGCGCTGGAAAATTATCACGCCGCCAACCGATCTCCAACTTTTCCTTCGCAGGATTAGGTAAGGAATCATAGTGAGCCAGTGACCTGCCAAAACCCCAACGGACCATACCTTATTCGACTGGAAGCTAGCATTACCTAATCCGTGGCCCGCTTTGTGACGGAAGAGCTCAATGAACAGAACAGACACCACCACCTAAGGTAGACCCTCCAAACACGAAGTGCTTCGCCGACGAAAAAGATACGACCGCGAGACCTGAGATCTCCCGTTGCCCCCTGATAATACACGAGCTCTCCGGCGACCTGATATACGTGCACCCAATACCAGCAATACCGCAACGATGCCGTCGGAACGCGACTACCAAATCTCCCCCATTGTGCAGGAATCCGTGATGCACAACACCAAGGTGGGATAGGTCCCTGGAACTGACCTCAATGGCCGACGTAATCTTTGTCGCTAACCATATCGCGCCCTCTACAGACCCTATCAAACTTGCAGAGTCTTTCAGCATCCCTCTTTGGTGTCGCGGCCGGCATCCTCGGTCTCGAATCGTACAGCGGCTTCCTCTTCTACCTCGTCTTCTCCTTCATCACCGCCGCCTTGTTCTACGTTTTGCGCATCGCTCCCGAATCGACATCAGCAGGTCTTCCATTCCTCAGCACGAGCCGCTACTTTAAGGGGCCGTTCGACTTCTGGACGAGTGGGCTGCTTGGAGGTCTTTCTGGTTTCATTCTCACCTGGACGTTGTTCTATGGTTTGGTGAGGGCATAACAAAATAAGGATAGTTAAGGGGGCATTTCTGGCGTCGGGCGTTGGGGAACCAGCATATGGGTCTAGTCGCAGGTATACATCATGGCAGAACCATAATCTGAAAATGAACATGACAACGCTGGTATAACGATATAAGTGAAGGATGTGGCAGCATGCTCAACAACGCCGCTATAAAATCTGATCAAAACAAAATTCCCATGCAAAACGCAAACGCAAAACTTAAGAACAAAGTCAGTCCACAATCTCGACGACAGTTCCCACGAAGCCCTCTAGACCAGATCTATCATTGCGGCCTCCCTCGAGCACAAGGATTTGAGAGCCCATTTCGACCCATTCTCGACTGGTTAGCAGCTCCAATGTAACCTGAACGCCGCCCGAGAACTCAAGATCATATGTAGGGGCTGTTTCGTCATGTTCGTTCATGTCGAAGATATCTTCAGTCTCTTCGGGCTTGGCTTTGTTCGAGCCATTCCTTGAGGCAAGTTTGGAAACACCCTTGACTCGGGCCGCCGCCCGAACACTACCGACGTATACATTAACAAGAGACCCATACGCCAGCGATGCAGTGTTGGGATCTCTGAATGACACCGTAAGTCCACTAGCTGCTTGGAGGGACATGCCTGTGTCCGCCATATGTTTGGATGGAATGGCCAGGACCATGCCTTTCCGGATTCGAGGAGCTGCCAACGGTGTCTCGAAAGCCGCTTCAGCCGATTTCTCTTGGGGCATTTCCAGGACGATCCCAATGGTGCCGACTTGACCAGCTTCAAGTGTGTTCACGGGGAGCCGCAAATTACGTATGCTGACAATTTTGGCTTTGTGCCATTCTCCTTGGATTGTGGAGGCTGCCACTGTATTGCGAATTGCAATCTTGGCAAGTTCTGCCGACGATGGGTGAGATATTGACAGCCCATAATTGCCAGGAGAGGCCCGGTCCTCCGGTGTCATGCCTTTGAAGTCGTCCTCGCCGGAAGGAAATGGTCCAATAATGATGCTGTCTCCGACCGAAAGCTGGCCAAAACGTAGGTATCCGGATACAACCGTTCCCATGTCATTCTGATCGGGATTCTCAGCAAGAGAAGCGTAGGACGCCGGAAGGCTAAAAGTGTCGTCAATGTGGAACAAGCACGACGGCTGTTCGGGATTTAATGCCATCCCGACGTAGTCGTTGGCAGTAGGGACTGGTGGCAGGGGGAGGCTCTCCAAGAGGGCATGTGTCATCCCAATACCAGCACCGCTGACAGCACTGGTAAGTATTATTGGAACAAATTTAAGGAGGTCTCCATCCCGATCCATCTCTGTGGTGACAGCCTTCACCTTGTCGAGATCTGCTGAAGGAACAGCTGTCCATTCCTGAACACTGCCTTGACCTGGTTGGAGGATCTTAGGGACTCTGCCGACTGCTTTGATGTGTGTCAAGAGCTGTCCAAGAATTCGATGCAGACTAGCTTTGGTTGCAAGGTCCATTTTTGTGATGACGATAGCCAGAGGAGTCTTCAATTTTAGGCATAACTCGAGATGAGCTTTGGCAAGATCCACGCCAGCCCCTGCGACTCCAAGGACGTCATTGGCGGTAGAACTCGCTCCGTCTTTTGTCGAACTCGCGTCAGTATCGTCTGCCGCCAGACAGAGAATAGTCCACTGTGGAGCCCAGCCGAACAAACCGCGGAGAATGGTCCGGCGGTAACGGGGATGGCCGGCGGAATCGGAAACGAAAACCAAGCGACCATTCTCAGCACTGTCGTGTATATCAATCCACGACTCAACGTGATCTTGCGAGTAATTGAATATGGCACGGTCCTTGTAGCCGATAAGCTCCTGTGCTACAGAGCTAGTAAGCCCAGATGCGACCTCGTGCCGATGTTTGAAGAGACTGATCCGGCTTTTTCCTCGTCCGTTGTCGACAGTGCCCGTGGACAAAGTACCCAGCAAAGTAGATTTCCCGGACGTCGTTGGTCCAGTGAGCGTTATCCTTAGCTGATCCGTGGTAGAGCGCCCTCTGCTTGGTTGCACAACAGACTCGGTAGCCCTTGGCGATTCTTTCACTTCGCGACGCCCCTCTGCCGAGCCATCTGGGTGCCCGTTCTTCATTGAGTAGTCGGGAGTCACGAGAGCCTCTACAACCCAGAGTCTTGCCTGTCGGGCAATTTGGGCAGGTTGAGTGGCCACACTATCCACCAACTCGGACGTCTCTAGCCACTCGCACTCGCCAACAATTACGTGGCGTAGGATTTCGACGCGGCAGCCCAGCGTGGCTGCCATGACCTTGAGTGTCGTGATGCTCTCGTCCATTTCGTCTTTGGTAAGCCCTACTAAAGTCCCGTCATCAGCAACGCCAATCTCATACAATGCTCCACGAGATTCTTCCAAGCCTGGGAGAGGTTTCTGCGGAGTCATCGCCTGGCTCAAGTCGTCCGTATCATCGGGTAATTTTGGTATGATGAGGTCCTTGGGATTCAGAGCATGGTAGGCACATGATTGCTGGAGCCTCCAAAGCAATTGCGTAGTCAGTTGTTGTAGGCGGACCTGTCGGCTCTGACTAGAGGCCGACAGGGCAGCAGTTGCAATCTTTGAGCGGCTGGCGGGAATTCTGGAGTTCTGGGTGGAAGATATGGTGCTCATAGCGGTGTATGTCCGTCTTGGCCGCAATAAGAGGTGAAGCTTGTATTCAGTGGGACCTTCTTGCGGCTCTGCTTCCAGCTTGGTGACACCGTAGTCTGAGAGGTGCCCCGGCTGGATTTGTCCATGATCAGAGTTGGACCTCCTCCCAGAGTCTTCGGGAGCCAGCCATGGGGATGCGACCCTTTGAGGATCCGTATCGAAAGTGAATATTGAGCCGGAAGCCATGGTTCAAGTACAAGGGTGGCAATAGGATAGGGAGTGTGGTGGCGAATTTGTGGCAGTTTCTCAAGCGCGTGATATCGAGTAGAAACAAACTCGTGAGGAATGTCAACGCCGATTTTGAAGAGCTATTGCAGTAAAAAGGGCAGAGGAACGGAACGCTATGCGCGGTATCATTTTGATAACTGAGCTGAGAGGTAATATCTGCGACGTGCTCAAGGCGCTGTTGCTGACTTTGGAGTGACGGAGAGGAATCTCAATCGGATTCCTAGTTGAAGGCCATGGCGATCGTTTTCTATGCGCAGCTGGGTCTGATATTTGTGGTGTGGAAGTTTGCAAGTGCATTCAAAGATTGGAGGCTTTGGACAGAGAGAGGTTACGGATAAGTTTTGACGCTGCAGTCTGGCCGAAGCAATGACTCGAAGGACGGTGAGAAGTCTCAGGCGAGGTGTGACGCAGTTGGCCGGAAGTCAAGTTCAAAGTGACTAAGATACCTTGCTGGGTAAGATGGCAAGATGGGACACTGCCTTAGCACCTCTCTGAGTGGCTCGACTATGAGGTCCCCGGGCGGGGAAAGTCCGGGTATTCCACCACCAGCTTATCCAGCGACCATGGGGCACCATGTAGCAGCCACCTACTATCCGTACACTACCTACCTTAGGTTACCGGCCGGCGGTGAATGACTCCATGAGTCCACACTCCACAGCGTTGAATTGCATCAAAGTATCCATAGCGACGACTCTGACCAAAGACCT